ACGAACGGGTGCGAAATATTCTCCGACTAAACAGAGCTACCGCCACGGCACGCCTTGAGGAAGTTTCTGTAGTGCAATGAAGTGCAGAAACCAGAGCTGAACCCTCGCCAGAGTGAGGCGTGTGACTTATGGAATGTGTCTGCTGGCGGCTAGTATGCATTTTAACTGTTCGCAGCTGATGCCCCATGCTGCACGACTTCTGACCAGACGTGTGGCGGGTCCTGCCGCTGCCTTTGCCAAGCCATGCGTCGCGACAGAGTAAGCCAACAGCTTCTGGATTTCAGTTCAGGTTTGCTCAGACTCTCATATACTCTAATTGAAGACTTCTTGCATCACCTGCACGGGTTGGTCTAGCTGAGTCTAGCTCCCAAGACGGAACATCCCGGAATCTCTGGCTAGTCTGCGCAGTGCGTGCTTGAATATTTGCATCCTTATGTCTTGAGGGTTCGTGAAAGCTCGATTAGAGCAAGACTTGTGCTCAGGGTTGCTCAGAGGATCTAAGAGTCGAAGATGCGACTCTGCTGTAATTACCGGTCACGAACAGACACGCCACCCTTCAAAGACATACTGGAGCAGCTGGGTGCAAACATGCGAAGCAGTCGCCCAGGATCTCTGTTCCATGGTTTATTCTGGACAGATGTGCTGTCCCGAAAGGTTTACACACATCTGCCGATTTGTTCAGGAAACGCTGCATCTCCCGACACCTCTAAAACGTGGTCGAGTGCACGTCCTGGATTTCCGGAGCTTTGGAGCTCATTCCGGTCAAAAGCTCTCTCAGTTGTGAAAGGGGGTCGAGCCGCTCGGAAGTTGCCGCTCCCGACCTTGAGAGTAAACTCGCGCAGTAGTCCACGAGAGGCGCTGCAGGAAAACAATGACATGCCGAGTACTTTTGACCTTCATGTGCAAGCCCGAGGGTTTGAAAGAGCCTTGCCAGCAGTCTCGTTCTGAGGAAAGTCCTCGCAGCCAGTGGTTGGGCAGCACCACAGCTACTGGACTTCCTGGGACTGCGTGCCCTGGTGAGTATGGTTGCTGGTTGCCGCTTGAAGAAGGCATTTGCCTCCACTTCCCAGGTTCATCATCGTTCATGTGATGAAAATTTGTCCTGTAAGTGGAAGTCCTTGTTCTGACGAGCTGTAGATCCTCTGTAGATGTTCGCTGAAACTGCTTGATGGAGGTGCCGTGCGCGACCATCCATCAGAGAACACGCTGATCCGGATTTAAGTCAGGCGTAAGTTGACGGTTGAATGACGAATGACTGCATCTAGTTACGTAGTAACTACGTTACATACTGCTCAATGCAGCTAGCTGGTAGAGAGAAGCTCAAAGCAGCTTTGCGCACCATGCAAAGACAGTGGTGTTTGCGGCGGGAAACATCGTCGCTCTCCCTTCGCGGAGCTTAGCTGGCTGATGTCGGCCAAGAAGGACGATGAAGCTTCATTCTCTTCTGCTGCCGATGCTCGGGTTCAAGGTTTGGTCTTGAAGGCACATGCGGCCAGAACACAGAGAAGTAGACCCGGTCTCAGCACTGCAAGGCTTCGACAATCGCCTTCGACAGACTTGTCAAAGCTTTGACAACTCTGCCGTGCTCAGAAGATCTAACTCCATTTGCGTGCTGTTGGCCAGTACGCGACAGTTGGAGATCCTCGGCAGCCTTGGCTTAGGCTGTTTTGCCTGACACAGCTCAAACACGTTGCTCAGGGCACCAACTGGACAACGGTTTTAGCGCGAAGAACCCGCACGACTGCAGTACGAAGCATTGCGTGCATCTGCGACCTTCAGTGTCTGAACGTGAGGTGCATGGCAGAAGTCGCAGGAGGCTGTTGCTTCCGTTGGAATGATGTGAAAGCTTTGAAAATTCGTGCTTCCAGTCGCTCCAAGTTGCAGCATCAGGCCAAGACTTCCAGACGCTGGAAGGATGGTGTAAGAGCCTCGGACCTTCTCGCAGCCCTGATTTGCAGATTCCGAGTGAGGAGCAGGCACAGCATCGTGAGCGCAAAGTCGCCACCTTTTCAGAACCGAACTCCTGAGCAAAGGCGAGGAGGCTGTGCGGCGATGGAACCAAACACTCAGTGGCTCTGGCGAGGATGAGGGACAGGCACAGCGCAGGGCCCGAATGTATGGAGTTCCGAGATGCTTTCAGTTTCTTGAACCCGCAGCGAATTCCCCTCAAGATATCCCCATGGTTCTGACCCATTCCGAGTTCCGAGTCTGGCCAGGAGGCTCGTCGCGTCAAGGCTGTCTCCTACACAGTCAGATTTCTCCTGGCTGTAATCCTTCTGCTGGGGCCTTACATCCCATGCGCCCTGCAAGCATTTGCAAGCATGAAACAGCAACGTCCTCGAGCTCTTACGACGTGTGAAACTTGATTCGTGCCAGCTCATCCAGCAAACCCAAGACCGGTGCTGATGGAGAAAGCCTCAGTTAAGAACCACAGCTTTCGTCATGCATACGGCACGCTCGCAGAATCCGTGGATGAGCACGGAACTGCTGCTTTGCAAAATTCCAGTGACACCTTGGATGCGAGCGGAAACTTCAAATATCGAACGCACTCCGAAAAGAGCGCGCGTGTAAACCCGAAGCCATAGAAAGGCTCGTCGGCAGTGTTAGGCGGAAGCTCGAGATCCCGCCCCATTGCAACTACTCCAGAGTTGAACATTGAGGACCCACGAAAGCGCGAATGAATCGAAGTACCGACTTGCCATTCACCCACTTTGACTACATGTCTCCAACTTGTGGTGGTCAGCTTGGGTCATATGGTGACATAGAGCAGATCCGTCGGCCATTGTAGAGCCCTTTAATATTGAAGCCATTACCTGTTTCGTCTTCGGAGTCTTCTCCAAGTTTGCTCTGCAAACCACAGACAAGTTGAAGATCTCTCGACCAGCGCTTTGGCGTGCATGCGTGATCTGATGGCAGCACGGACGGTGCAAGAAGCTCTTGTCGCAGCAATGCTTGATACTCAAGGCATGGCAAACATTGACAGGTGCGTTGCTGCTGCTGCGTGCGCGGGATACCGCCTACAGGACATCTACCAGGCAGATTCTGCACAGCGCGAATCCAAGCGCTGAGAGCATGCAACTGTCCTTGCATTGAACAGTACAGCATGCAGTTCTCGCTGGCTCCTCAACACATTCATGAGCATCGACTTAGAGCCCACGATATTGCCAGACATTGCCATGGCAGTTATTGCCCTATTGGAACGGGCAACGTGAAAACGTGCATTTGGGGCGGGCCAGAAAGCTGCAAGCAAAAAGTTGGAAAGTGTTGAGCTTTGTCGATCTCTGGAAAGAGGCTTTCACGGCCTTCAGAATGCAATGCAGGCATGCCGCATCCCGGCAGCCCCAGCGACCCCGGTTCCAGAGGAGGAACTGGCTCCTCGATCAGGCTGAGCATCTGCACATGCCAGAGCACGTGGAGTCCGTAACCCTGAAGACTAGAACATGCTAGCTAGGCTATACTAAACCCGAACCCGTTGACCAGCAGTTGCGCATCATGCCGGACTCTGAAGTTGACACCTATCGAGGTATATGCTAGATTCATGCTGGAATCGCTAGGGTTTTTGCATCTCTTCGTCTGCGAAAGTTGACGGAGTCCCAGATTGGCGGGGTGTTTCCTGTCAGGGCTGCTGCTACTTGTCATCGGGCTGATCACCGTGTTTCAGCTTGCTGTCATTATCTTGGCTGGAGCCTCAGGATCAGTTCCGGCCGGTCTCGGCTTCTGCCGTGAGAGTTCGTGGAAGGTCGCCAACTGTTGCGGGGGCCCGCGCAGCAAAGAGGCGGCCGGTCAGGGCTCGATGCTAAACTACCTGTAGGCTCACAGCAGCTGCGCCTCAAGAGTGTATTGCTTTGCCTAAGCCCGAAGCTCCAGCTGACAAGCTCATGTCGGTTGTGTGGTGTGTAGTAAATGTGTGTAATTGTGTGTGTATATATAATAATATATATATATATATATACATACATACATGCATACATGCTGACCATACAGCTCGC